GGGGGGGGGGGGGAGATGCGTTCTTTGTAAGCGTATACGTATGGACGTGTATATATATATATGTGTATACCTACTGATGATAGTTTTGCTATACGAGATACGTTGATTTTATAAAAAAATAATGTTTTTTCTTTTTCTTTTTTCATTTTAGTTACAGCGCACGCGAACGCCCCGTCCTTGGTAATTTTGCCCAGTGGCGACGTCCAAACGAAACCCATCGGTTCCAGCATCGTCCTCACGTGCACACCGGATGTCGAGAAACTGGAACTCGTTACGGACATGCAATGGCTCGATCCTCAAAACAGGGTGATCGAATCTCTGAAGTGAGTAGAAGCTCCTTAATTTATTCAAATTTTTGATATGATAGTGATATTTAATTTTTTTTTTCTCTCTCGATAGAGCACGATCCTTTATTTGATTTTTTTTTTACTTATATATTTATCACGTTCCTTTGTCGGCTCTGGATTATTTTTTTTAGGAAAAAAAAATATACACTGGACACTACACTAATCTCTTGTTTTGTCGTTCATTGCACACCAGCCTTCGCGTATTGTCGATCGGCGAGAGGCGAGTATGATAACAAATAAAATTTTCCGTGTAGCGTTATGCATTAATGAAAATTCGTTGTTTCCATCGAATATACGAATCTTGTAACGATTTGACACTTTTCGTAAATAATTCATGTAAATAATTAATTTTCTCGAATAATATGTCACTCATACCCGATTTCTTTAACTGGACACGACATTAAACGTGTTACACGCATTTTGTTTCGTCTAGTCGCTTCTCATTTCGCATAATAATTATCGAAGCTGCCAGCTGCTCCGTAATAATAAATATTTTGAATACATAACGCCGCTTCAACAACGCGTGATACGACTTCGATAACAGCTAACGCCGTACACGAATCTCGGGTCACATACGTCCCGTGCATGCTCGTCATGTGTTACGCCATGGGTGGGTGTTACTGGAAAAAAATTTTCTTTTTCCAACTTCACAATACTCTGGGAAAATTTGTATGTTCTTATCCATTTTCGCTTTCGCTCTCTCGATATCCATAGTTACATTCTCGCAATAGTTTTTGAGAATCTGCTGATGCCAAAGTCAATTTTCTGACTGACAGCCTGTCTATATTTTTGTATTTAACTTGTATTGTTTTTTCATAGCAATGTGCAAGGTACCACCAAACCGACCATATACACGGAAATGAATCAGGATAACAGTCTGAAACTGTTATTCGATTCGCTCAAGGAAGATCAGGAAGGGCAATACACGTGCAAGGCCAATTATGCAAGCAACATACAACTAATAAAGACCGTAACGATCAATACTATAAGTAAGTTATTACATTGTTTTTAAATCCTTGGGTATAGTGTACGTGTAGCATCAATATGAGTACTTTGGGAATACCTATAGATGGGGATATATATGGAATTAGGATGCTACGGTACAGGGATACTTGGAAAGATAAATAATGTTATTGATAATGATGCTGACTTTTTAAATTTCAGTTGCAATCACGTGGGACGATGCACCGTTAGATCAGTTTCCTATTCTTGGCGAGGACTACTCGGTAAAGTGCAAAGTTCGCGCGAGACCGTCGCCCTCGGTCGATTGGCTCTTCAATGACGAAGTGATAAGAACCAACGATCATTATATCATTGAGACACACGCCCTCAAGATCAAGAACGTTCAAGAATCTGACGATGGTATCTATACCTGTCGCGCTTCTGTGGCGACCACCGGAGAACTTAAACGACGCGCTATTCGTGTGGAGGTAGGTGTACCGGTTTTTTTTTTTTATTTAGGGGTAGTACCTTTTTTTGTGAGAGACACCTTTTTACTTAAAATTCTTTACTGCAGGTCCACGTTAGACCTGTGATCGAGGAACTGAAATCTCCGCTGGAAATAATCGAGGGGGAGAATGCCAATATAGCGTGCAACGCTAGGGGTAAACCACCTCCAAAGTTCAGTTGGGTTAAATCGCTCAGGCAGCAAAATCTATCGTCTGCCGATCGATTTGGGGTTAATCCTGATACTGGAGTACTGACTATCACCAATGTGAACCGAGAGGATGCCAGGGAGTATCAGTGCATTGCAACTAATGCGGCAGGTCGAGCTATTGCCAACATCCGGGTAGACGTCATCGTGAAGCCAAAGATCATGGAATTCCTCAACGAGACGGTAGCAGTCGGAAATGCAACTAGTATCAGTTGCAGAGCTTTTGGTAGACCTCCTCCCAAGATCACCTTCAGGAAACACACTTCTAGCAGGCCTTTCGTAATGGGTATCCAGTCGGATGACGATAGAATTACTTTGGAGAACGAGTCCAGTGACGTCACTGGCGAAACAGTGGGAACATTGAATATACAGAAGGTCATGCGCTCTGACGACGGACTTTATGAATGCATCGCGAAGAATCAGGGTGGTGATGCCTTCAAAAGTGGCCATGTCACCGTTGAGTTTCCGCCGTCTTTTACATCCATGTCGAATCAGACTGTCTATTCCTGGGAACAGAAACCGGTGAATCTTACGTGCATTGCCGAAAGCATTCCCAACGCTACGATTCGCTGGACTATGCATGGTGATGAGCCTATTAGGAACTACCCGCAGATTCGGCAGATTGGGACTGGACCGATTTCTGTCCTTAATATCGTTCCTATTGATAATCGTTATTACACCAACTACAAGTGCATTGCCCAAAATCGTTATGGCGCACCGGAACGCATTATCGAGTTGAGGGAAGCTAAGAGACCTGGAGAATTGCTTCAGGTGAAGATCACGGAAATCACTGCTACCACCATCACGTTCGATATTATTCCGCCAGTTACACTCCCGGATATGCCAATCAGGACGATCAACGTGCAGTACAAGGAGGAATCGCAAAATTGGGTTGAGGCTAAGAACAGGACTTGGACTCTTAGTGAGTACATTTTCTTTATCTTTAATTCTATTATTTTCTCCCACATAGGGCTCGTCACTGCAACGACAGTTGCCCGCGTGTAATGAAATTGTCTGATGTTGGAAAAATAAGTTTTATTTAGATGGCTGTATTTTTTTTTTAATACTTGTGTCGATCGAGCTAATCTTTTACTATAGAAACTAATATGCGTCTGGATCTTGAGATTAAACTTTAGTATGGTTTCGATCTAGCAGAGACCTCCATGTTATAAATCGCTCCTAATCTCTTCTTTCAGATTCCCTCTACGTCGTTGAGAACTTGAAACCGCAGACTCAGTACAATTTCCGATTCTCTTCTGCCAATGCAGTGGGAAGTAGCAATTGGGCAAATCATTTAACCAGAATGACACCCGTAAAGACTGTTCCAAATCCCCCCAAGATGCTCTCGAAGCTGCCAGAGGGTAAAGATTACGAAGTCTCGAAATTCAACAGTCAGTACCAGCTGAGGTGGGTGGCACCTCCTGACAATGGTGAGCCGATAGACGTCTACCGTATCAGATATTGTAAAACCGAACGAATCTCTGGCGAGTGGCAAGTTCAAGAAGGTACTTGTTATACCGTCGACACCAGAAAAACGGATTACTACCTGAAGGATCTCCAGGCGGACGCCTACTACAAGGTTGAGCTCAAGGCGCACAACAAGATTGGCTATGGCGCTCCAACATATCTGACGTTCAAGACCGCCAGAGGTAAGTGTCATACACTGACTGTCGGTACTATTTCTTAAATTACTATGATTTATCTCCATACATAGCCATGAAGAGACATGCCTCTGACTGTCCACGTATTTCTTTGCTCTTATCCTGTTGAATTAAAGAAGGGAACGTTTAGATTTTTTGTTGCCTTACACGATGGCCGAAGGAACTTCGTCTTGATGCGACCTGGAGGAGGCAAAGAACAAGAAGAAAATATTATAAGACAAAAGGAATCTCTTTACCCCCTTCAGGCCACATACAGACGAGTGACGATAGTTCCTTGACGCCCCCCAGGGACGTAACAAAGGATTTCTCAACAAGGGTCAACCCTGTTCTACTTTTTTTTTTTCTTTCTATTACCATTCAGAATTGACCAGCGATCCTCCGACCCTCTCACGTGCATCTACTGGTGGGGATACGTCCATGCTCACCGTGACAGCCATTGTATCAGCAATAACAATCCTATCTTTAGTGTACTAGAGTCATCGCCCCGTATCTCCTATGCGCATTCCTTTATTGAAGTGACCTTACGTATTACACGATATTATGTATCGTCAATTTTTTTCAATTTTATTTTTTTTTTTTCAACAAAAAAAATCAACGTTCATGTACTTTATCTTGGTCATCGAATTTTTTAATTCAAATGCATTCCTCGTGCGTTTTTTTTTTAATTTTTTTTTTTTTTTTTTAAAGTGAAACTTTCTCACATGCTGCGTTATCACAAATTGAAACGTTTATTTTTCGCCTATGAAAATTCGATGACCTGCTGCCGCGTAATTGAAGGATGTCCATAAAAATACAAGGAATGCCAGAGGAATGTGTTAGCGTAGAGAGCAACATTGCGTTTTTGCCTATTCGAACCGTTTTCATCGGCGACTATTAAAGGCTTATAGGTTAGGTACTAGACGAAGGGGAACACCATTCCGAAAGAAATATCTTTAGAGATTATCGCGCGATGGCGACAGAGTGTCGGTTATTTGCGAAAATGGACTCGAGAGAGAGAGAGAGAGAGAGAGAGAGAGAGAGAGTAAGAGTGAGAGAGCGAGAGAGCTTGTGTGTATTGCGAAAAGAAAGGGTTTTTTGTACGTCAGATAAATGCAAATGGTGCAAGTCCACGCGATAATGTATACCGCTATTGAGAAACATGAAAAGAGATATTTATTGTTGAACGCTCATTGTTGAAAACGTACTGGTACGTTTTGTATTAGGCTTAAGGTCGCTACTTCCTTTTGTACAGATTATCGACCTGCATCGAGGTATCGCGCGACGCGCAGAAGACTAATTTAAATCTTTCCCGCGAAACGCTCATTCTTAAGGCGCGTACGAAATCATTCGTTATTTGGGAATGGGCTCGGTAACGTATATTGCAATAAATACGATATTAAATTTTTTTTTTTTTTTAATTCTCAATTCATCAGAGATTTTCGTCTTTAAGAAAATTATTAAGCAATCAGATGCTTCGCTACCCGAAAGACACGTTGGCGCGACTCACGTAGTCACGAATTCTCATTGCAAATTCCAACCGACCCACCCAGAATACTTGGTCGCGTGCATTTTTTGTATCTCGTTTTAATTTTTCTCTTTATCTTTCACATTTATTTCCTTTTATTCGTTCAATACTTTGGTGCGTATGAATAAGCCTTTACTGCCTTACATTGCCAAATGCCTAATGTTAGATAAGGAGGAGAGGGTCGACCAAGTCGACGATTAGGACATAGAGAAAAGTCAAAATTCCGTCTATATCACGAAAGCGAGATAGGGAAGAGTTAAAAGCCAGCGAAAAGAAGACTGGGCGCTTAAGAGGGGGGAGGGGGTACACACGAGTTAATTGAATTAACACTAAAGAGCTATATTTTTTCTTTTCGCCCGCAGAGACGAAAGCGCGATATAAAAGAAGCCGTTTGCCAATTTAGCTTAAAAGAGATATTTTTAGAAAATCATATACAGCCAAACACTTGCGATTCAGCTTTTTTTTTTTTTTTTTTTTCATTAGGGTTAGTACATGTGTAAATTGATGCGACTCGAAACGAAAGGGGATGGAATTCGAATGAGTAAACATTGAAAATTATATAAATTAACGTTTATATGACTATTTTCATTTATCAGGGTTAACACTGATCCTGATATTATTCATCGTGAAAATAAACTGAACTGCATGCGAGATCCACTGTGCGTTGTGTGCATACGAAATATCCGTCTTTATCGAAGCGATCCCCATCGCCTTCAGTGATGCATACGTTATAACAAAATAGAGTTTGCCCTTATTTTTTATTTTTTTAAAAATATTTTTATCTTTCGTTTCTCCTGTTTCGTTCACTCTATACAAACGATCAGCACCAAGCTCAGCGTACAATTTTTGCCCGTTTCCAAGAATCACGTCTGTGCCAAAAGTTGTCTTTGATTTGCAAATTCCTTTTTCTTTTTAAATCTCGTTCCCATTCTCAAATACACGAATCTCAGTCGCTACGTTACTTTAATTTCCTTTATGAACGTGAACCAAAAACGAGAATCAGCACAGACGAGACTTCTTTTGCCATTAGAATGAATTTTCTTTTTCCATCGACGTAGTTTGAATACATCTCGGGACGAATCCTCTGTTTTTTTTTTTTTTTCTTTTTTTTTTTTTTTTGGGCCTCCTCTCTGGGATACTTACTTTCATTAGTCTGCTTGATTAGACATCTAAATCCGTGTTCTTTAGTGCGCATGATCTGTGAATTATTAATTATTAATTATTAATATTTACTGAGGGTCATTATTATTATGATACTTACTTATTAGTCATCACATAGCGTTACTCTTAGCGATAGCGACATTCGATTACCGTACACGATTTATTGTAATAGATTTATTTGTATTATTATCAATATTACGATTATTATTATTATTATTATTATTATTATCATTATTATTATTGTCATTATTATTATTATTGCTACCGTAGCAATCGCTAATCATTACTGTCGCGGTTCCGCATATACATGTAACACTTATCTATCTACGTACATTCATTAACGTTGGTAATTTTTCATTTTACGAAGCTAACGCGACTAGTACTGTACAGTCCAGCTCAAAACCTTACAACGATCACCATAAACGAACTTACTTGTTTTTTTTTTTCGTTTTTTTTTTTTTTACGCCAATTCAATAGCATCGATTATCATGTAAACGAGACGTTATTGGTTATCTTTTTTTTTCAACACTTTTCTTTAGTTTTTTTTTGTTTTCCTTCATGTTCCGTAAGTCACTCGTCTCCTTTGTCAAAGTCTGTATCTCGTGTTAGTTTGTTCGAAATTTTGAACGTCTGTTATTATTGTTATTGTTACCGTCATTATTATCATTGTGAATTAGACTACATCGCATGGCATGCGCTTTCTCATTTCTGTCAGAGTCGCAGTCCGTGGCATCCATCAGACAAGGGATGATTGGACGAAATCATTTTTTTTTTTTTTTTTTGTTATCATAGTACAGTCATTCGATAGGAAAGTATTGGCAGCGAATCCGGATGCCTCGCGATGATAATTTATGTTGTTGTATCGATTAGCAGAGCGTTAAAAACAAAAGTAATAATAAAATCCATCAGACAAGGGATGATTGGACGAAATTTTTTTTTTTTTTTTTTTGTTATCATAGTACAGTCATTCGATAGGAAAGTATTGGCAGCGAATCCGGATGCCTCGCGATGATAATTTATGTTGTTGTATCGATTAGCAGAGCGTTAAAAACAAAAGTAATAATAAAAGATTTCTTCAAAATCACAACGTTGACCGAGGAGGGTCATCCGTCACTTTTACCACCTGTCACTTTGTCAGTTTCTATTTTTCGATACGTTGATATCACGACGGAGTCATGGTGCATTGGAATTTTTTGTTCTTATCGTAATTCGCCGTTTGGCACGTGATTTTTATTTTTCTTAATTTTTAATTACACGATCACATTTCATCAGTCACGTGACGCTGTCGATTGACTCTGCTCATTCGCCGTATACCTTCGCAATCTGGTGCAATCACGGCAAACGGGGACGGACGGGTAATCGGAACGTTAAAGAACGCTTTGGTTCGATTGTATTTTTCATATTTTTATTTTTTTTTTCCCCCGTTTCTTTTTATATATATTTTTGAGGCGAATCAGGTAAAAGGGGGTGGCGCGTTTCCATGGGTTCGATCCGGGTGGGGGATACACTCGGAAAATTAATGAGACCGTTTTTTCCCCCGTTCGTTTGTTTTGTCTTGTTCAATTTCTATTGTTTATCCTTGGCATAGCGTTGCGGCTACTTTTTTTTTTTTTTTTTTTTTTTTTTTTTTTTTTTTTTTTTTTTTTTTTTTCATTTCCATTGTCACGCTTCTCTGGTTTCAAGAAATCGGACCGCGATATAACGGGCGACGCGAAAATTATTCTCACTTCCGGTATTTCTCTTGCGGGGAGAATTTATTATCGAAAAAAATTTGAGTTTCCACGCAATCGCTCCGCCCCTTTCGACCTATCACGAAATTCTTCCATAGGTTTATATTACGTACACGTATAGATATATATACACGTATAGATAGATAGTGTTTACCTACGCTCGTATTTATGAGGGTACATAGTCTCTTTGTGGAATATATTGTAAATAATACGACAGAAATATATAACTATTCATGAATATATATATATATATGTGTCGCTCGATTACCGTTTGCCTGCGGAGAAGCCTATTTCAAATTGTTTTGATCGGTTTGTTTACTTGTTTGATTTAAGACTTTTTTTTTCTTTTTGGTTTTAAGATCAAAAACCCGCAGAACCGTTTTTGTGCCGCGTATTTTTTTTCTTTTTTTTTTTTTTTTTTTTGAAAAATATTAAATTCAAAGAGGGCGCTTTTGCCCGTTCCATGTAGCGCGATAACCCGACACTGCTGCGACTTATCAATTTGAGATGGTTTCTTTCACGGCCGTCTCGTTTATTTTTTCGTTTGCCTGCTTTATTGTCCTGCGGATCGAAAGAATTAAGAGAAAAAGAGAAAACGGTCGACCACGAGAACGGTAACTATGACCAAAAGACATAATACTAGTAAACGCATCCCCCAGGGAGAATGACGCTTGACTTGGCCAATAAGGATTTGTATTTGAAGGTTTAGCTGAGATGTGGAGTTAAAATTAGACGAAAAAAAGAAAAATGTTGCTGTCTCTAGTGATTTTTTTTATATTTTTTTTTTGTTTTCAATTAATATGGTCAGTAGTCTGCGCCTTACACTAACACACTATAGATATACCGAATGAGCTTCTTTTTTGTATTTATTTGGGCTTACCTTTGGCATCTCTATCTTTATCCTTTTTCTTTAACTATACTGTACCTATATGACTGTCCTTGTTCCTCTAATCACTTTTTTTCTTTCCTGTATCGTCTATTGTCTGTTCACTGTGCTTGGATTGTTATTGTGTCGTCTGTTGTATTTAGACTATTGCTGTAATTCTATTTTAACATGTACGGTCGCGACACGACCACCCGTATCCCCCTTTGGTTTGGTTTCGCTTTGATGAAGACGGATCTTTGGCACTATCTTTTATTTTTCCAGGATAACTAAACAAACGTGAAACGTGTTTGGTGATGATCGCCGGATACGACGTGCGATTGTATTATCGTATCCTAAGATGATTTATTAAATTCTAAGATTTAGATATCGTTCGTACACGTACATCAACACATTATGGTTATCGCCAGCGATCTTCGTGAGAATGAGACAAAGGTTTCTCTAATTTTTTTTGTTTTACCGTATCTATCATATTTTTCATACACGGTATCTGTTACATATGCGTTACCTTAAACGGGGTTAGTCACGATAAACGTCATCAGCTGAACTCAGTCGCGAATTAACGATTCCGTTAATCGAGGCAGCCTGACCATATTAGTAAAAAAAAAAAAAAAAATATTATGAACCTCACGACACTAATAATTTTACTACGTGAACTTTAATTTTTGTAAAAGTCACACTTTTTTTTTTTCCTTCCTAATCACACTGCTCCGATCGACGATATCACTCGTTTGCGGCTAACTTCAGCCAGTACGAATAATCGGCTACGCGAACCAGCCCTGGTCCCGAAGCCTTGAGATATTTCGCACGCTTACGGATAACCTTGTCGAAAGTCAAGTTGATGAACGAAAAAATTTCGAGTAGACGTAAAATTTGTAAGTTTCGCCTCCCGTGATGTTTTCGCGATGTACGTTTTTTAAAACGAAAAATTGTTTCTTCCAGCCAATGGGAGTAACAATAAAATTTGCTCATCACCAAACATCGTTTTACGTCGCTTTACGCACTAACCGATTGTGCTGTTGTTTTTTTTTTCTCCATTCTAAACACGTGTTACACTATTAATAATTTTTTTTTTTTTTTTTTTTTTTTTTTTTT